GGCGAGAGGCCTCCCTTTCAGATCCAAGTCTCTTCTAAGGGTTGCCAGGCAGAGCTCCAGCATAAGGGGATAAAAGGGGATGAGGGTAGGGTTACGGTTTAGGGTTTAGGGTTTCGACTCTCACACTCGCACAAGGCTGGCAAGGCTCCGCATAGTTCTGTCTCCACTGCACTACACTACAACCAGGAGGCTCGGTAAGCGTAACAAGACGAAAGCATTAGATAGCTCAAGCAACAGATAGTTCAACAAAGGTTCCTCAAGCCCCTGGTATGACCAGGCTGATGCCCGCTGTTTCAAAAGACGCATCAAGGAATTGTATACTCGGGCAGTTGCCCAAAGATCATGAAAGCAGAAATTCACTCAAAACAACGCATTCAGGTATTCGGATCGTGCTGTCACAGAGTTGGTCTCAGCTCTCCATGTCCGCAGGTGGCTACGCTCACGACAAATTCGCGTTCCCAGCTCATCCATGGTCACGAGTCGACGATCACTGTTGCAGTAGGTCATCACAGCTGTAAATTCATCCATGCCATGCAGAGTATTCATGCAGTGGAACACCACGTCACATTCGTGAATTCAAGAATTCCATGAATTCAGTATTCAATGAATTCTTGAGTTCACATGCAGTCTGCCTCCTTCCCCCAGCAGTGCGGAAGTCCACAGGAGGTGTGTCAAGAAATTTGGTGTGTCAGAAGTGCTGTCACACATCGTGGTAGAAGTGCTGTCACACATCACCCCTCCGCTGCAGCCCCTGAGCCGTGTCTGCACTCTGCTCATCAGAGGCCACCTTGAGCGAGGTTACAGGGGCAGCCCATCCTGTAGGTCTAAGCGAGAGCCACGGAGGTAATCATCATTGCCACGCAGTTTTGCGTCAGCCAGGAGGAACCATGTGCGCAGGCGAAGTCTCCACGAGAGCCCACACACTATCTCCTGTAGCGTTCGCTCGTCTTCTGCTACCTCACTCAGCCTAATTGGCACATATCTTGCTGCACAGACTCTCTCCACATGGTCCCAGTATTCACGGACCAACGGTTCAGCGTCGACCTCCTCCAACCGTCGCAGTGCCTCGAGAAGGGCTAACAGGTGCACCGCCACGTAGGCTGCGCTATTCCTGTCCAGCTCAGACAGAAAATGCCTGAGGCCGTAGACGTCCAACCCCGTAAAAAGGATCACTGGGGGCAGCAGAAGGCCGAAGGTCATGGCCGTCGCTGTCGGGGGTTCGTGGTTTACTAGCCAGGCAAGTATGCAAAAGTGGTAAGTTTTCCTGAACTCACTCCATGTTGAAAAAAGGGCAAGCAGCAGCAGTCGTCACCACCATCACCGGTCCTTCAGGTCGGGAGATAAGGCGTAGCCTGTAATGTTGTGTGAGAGTGAGGATTCTACCTGAAGGTTCCAACAGTCAAGCTGAGGGCGCAATATACTGTATCACAGGTAGAATCTTCTACTTCAATGGTACCGCAACTCATTGGTAGGGGAGGCTTGGGGGGGGGGGGGGGGGGGGCGGCTTCACACCACACGGCTCCAGCTTCGCACTTCCTTTTGACAGCGGAAGACGCACTGCAGAGTTGTCATGGCGCGGTCAAGGGCAACAATCTGAATTAGAGTCGCGAATTCTTGTATCAAATTCTTGTATCAAACTTTCACAGAACTATGGGCCGTCCACATCCAAAACGTGGTATACCGACGGGGACGTGGTAGCCAGGGACATCTGTCAGCTGAAACATGGTTAACAGAACCAGAGGTAGATAAGCAAAATAGAAAAAGGGCTGAGGAGAAGTGCAAAGGTTCAGATGTACGTAAACCGATGTAGCGAATTCTCGTAGTGCCATGCAGAGGTCATGCTGTGAATTCCAGCCATGCGAGCGAATGTCTTACCCAATCTGGGTCATGCAGGCTCATGCATACAACCTTCTTAAACTAGTTTATACCGTCATGCAAGCATGCAGCGACTCACGTGCATTGACACACTCATGCATGCATATGTTACAATGCATGTTGCCCATTACTCAAAAGAGTGAGCCGACCTCCGATCAGCAGCAAATTAGAAAAGCTAAAACAAGTGCCCAACTCACGAAATAAACCCTCGAAGGTCTTCCTCACGGATTGCTTGCCTGGTCCCATCACTGTACGTGACCGCAGCAATGTTCCGTCTGGTGCTGCCTCCGCTGCCAATGCCGGAGCTGCGTTGGCCCCAGCTGCCTCCCTGTATGCTGCTGCTAATGCTTCAGCCGCGGCCGCAACGGCATATGCTGCTGCTACTGCTAGCGCCTCGGCCGTAGTCGCGTCCGCAGATGCCTTGGCGTGCTTGGCCACCGACTTAGCGGCCTGCGTGTGAAGAGTCCCATCCGGTTAAAAAGGCCCCGATAGCAAACACGGAGGAGCACGGTAATGACTCGTACTCGCAAGCAAGATACTTGCCAACTGTTCTGCGATGGACTGAGCATTGCTAGCAGCTAGCATCAGTGATGACTGTGAACAGTTTGGCTTTCGAACATCTTCTTGAGCAACAGCGCTTGAGCCAAAATGGCTACGGGGTTTTAGGGTTTAGGGCTTTAGGGTTTTAGGGTTTAGGGTTTAGGGTTTTAGGGTTTGGGATTTAGGGCTGTAGGGTTTAGGGTTTTAGGGTTTGGGGTTTAGGGCTTTCGGGCTTTGGGGCTTAGGGCTTAGGGTTTAGGGTTCGGAGTTTTGGGTTTTAGGGTTTGGGGGTTGGGGTTTAGGGAAAAGGGTTTTAGGGTTTAAGGTTTTAGGGTTCTAGGGTTTAGGGTTTTAGGGTTTGGGGTTTAGGGGGGTTCCGGAGACAATGTAGTCACCTGAAAGTCTTACAAGATAGCTTTGGAGTCGGCTGCGTGGTAATTATAAGAAGGAACTCTCAAGAAGAGTGTGCTTAACTCTTCAGGCTTCTATACAGAGGCCTTCGTAATTAGGATGGGGTTTTGCGGGACATTATACTATAAAAAATAATAAGGGACCCCTAAAATAGTATAGGTAATTGTTAAGGCCCCTATATTAGATTATGAGACTCATGGGTAAGTGGGGGCAGGGCAGCTGTTCTGCAAGGCTCCTGTGCTCGGCTGCATCGTCCATCTGCTTCTGGTTGTCCGACGTACAAGTGGCAGTCTCCTGCACATGTGAAGTTGAAGTATGCCGGGGTCTAGAGGGGAAATGGCTCTTAGGTCCCTCTCTCTCTCCATCTCTTCGGGCTCGCCACGAACTGTACACATACATTCGAGATACGTGAATTAACCAGCTGTCGTGTGAAGGTTGGGGCAGCAGTCGCAACCAGTGATAATAGCAACAAAGGTAAGTGCTACCCATGGCAATATG